ACTATTATTTCCCTAATTTAGACAGCTAGACAATTTTGACTTTTCATTTAGACAACATTGTTTAGTTAAATTTTGATTTGATTTTTTAAGTTTAAGAACATAATGTAATATTTTCTGAAAAAAGTTTAATGTCATATGGGTGGAAAGTAACACTTTGAGGGCCACTTTCACATTCATCAGATTTTGTTATGCTAGAAACGTTTTCTTCAACGGAAGTATCACATTTCTGTACAACAGAAAAACTTACATTGGTACTAGATGCTGTCACTTCACTAATTTCAGATCGTGATTTTTTCTCAAAATAATTAAAAATTGTTAATTCCTAAAGATCCAAGAACAGCAAATATATATATATATTGGCACAGAAATATCCGCTATGCTACGATTTCAAAGCTTCGAGCTGGAATGAATAACTTCAACGACCACAGTATCTCCAATGGTATTGTTACTGATTTCTTCACTAGTCGAAATAGTGGCGACGACGGGTTCGGCGATTGAATGAATTTTTGTTGAGATAAATCAAAACAGATTTAGCCACAAGCTCCTAAAGACAAGCGGCAGAGATATCTCTTAGTCTGACTAACTAACTCCACTGTACTCTGTTCGCCCTTTTATATAATTTTTCACCGCATCTCCAAAATTCTCGAATTGTCTCAAAGACGACAGAACGTCTAAGATTCCAGAATCATCGCGTAAAGACCCCGCGAATGACAGCCAGTCTCGAAAACTATTCTGGTAGGACAGAAAGGAACCAGTCCGTTACAGTATCACGTGAATTTTGTTTCAAAAGTACAACCCTATTATAGTAAATATTTTTTCAGTATTCTGAGAAATACCGTGAGAAAAAAAAAGTAGGCATAAGGCAGATAAAAATATATAGTCTTAAAAAATAATAGCTCGCATAATTTCTACTAAAAGTTTACTTCTGCCATTTTGTCTGAGCTCAAGGGGGGTGTATAAACCCCTAAACTCCTCCCTTGCCTATGACACTGCTCCTGGGTCAAGTATTGGGACAAATTTGCCTTCGTGGAAGGCTCCTTGATGGTACTAAACAGCATTTGCGCTACATGGTGTGGAAAACCATGAAAACTTCCCACGGTTAGCCTGACGGCAAGATGATTTTAACTCATGATCGGTCTACCACTGAGTATATTTTACATCAGCACTATGATCAGTATGGATGTAGAATTCCCTTCGAACAGCCATCGCTGGGATTCGAACCCGGTTCACCTCATTGGAAGGCGAATGCTCTATCCTCTGAGCCATCCTGGCTCTAACCAAGTATTTAAACTATACATCAGGTGACTGCAAAAATTCCGGGAAATGAAAAATTCAATTTCATATTTTTTTTTTTTTTTTTTTTTNTGACTTCAAAAATTCTGGACCCGATTTCAATTGCATTTTTTTTTTTGCTATGCATGCTGAGTACCATCAACAAATATTGTCAAGAAATACTTGTGAAGATTATTCATTTCTGACATTTTCCGTAAATACGAATGTCGTTAATGTTGGGGCATTCTCATTTGAAATCCGAGTTAAGTTGAAATCCAAGCAAATACTGAAATGTTGAAATTTAAACAACGTAAATAAGCTAAATGTTTAAATCCAACCAAAACATCCACAATTTGATCAATCCAAAACAAATCGTCTTTTTTTATATTACTCTCAATAGAGGCTTAAAATTTAAAATATTAACAAGTTTTTTTTAAGCTCTTTCGCCTTAGGAAATAAAAACAGCCATAGTTTAGATGCATTACACTTGAAGAGAAACGATAATTTTAAACTGTATCTGCCATCTTGTTGTAAGGAATTATTTGGGATTTAGAACAGACATATAACTAAAATATTATGTAAATTATTAAATTTTTTTAAAAATCTCAAATTTGGGGACATTTTCCTACCTACATGAAAATTATCAAAGTCAATGACTTATTCCAATTTTTTGCAAATTTTTATGAGCCCAGTAGATAATGCAGCATTAGAGTAAGTTTCTAAATGTTAAAAAATTAGACAACAAAAGCTTTTTATTTTTCCCAAACTGTGGTTTTTCTTCATACTTACGTTTTGCGCCATTTTCAGAATGAACATAGAGGGCGCTGGCTAAAGATAGGCTAAACTTGATCTAACGGTCATGAGTAACTGTTGCAATTTCATATCAGTTATGAAAATAAGCATATTATTTGCTAAAGAACCATCATTTCATGCGACTACAGAACTTTTTAAAAACATCCTTAAGAGAAGAAATTCACCGTAATCACAAAAAGGGAAGATAAGTGCATAAATAATCGACAAGTTATGGTGACTTCCGGGCAGTGGTATACGAAAAATCAAAATCAAAAATAATAAAATAGATAAAATAATGACTAAATTCCAAGGGTTAAACTCGTGTTCACCACCGGGCAAGTCAATATTTTTCATTAACTTATTCTAAAAATATCCAATTTATTTAGCTTTCATTCGGAGATGTCGCTTTGATCATTTCAGTTTGGAACGATCAAGTACCGATGCGTAAATAATCATCACTTAATCTTAACTACTCATGTGTTCATATCCTCCGTTCATGCATTCAAAATAATTTGATTTAAGCAATTATGATTCTGTGGAAGAAAAGAAAACGTACCTTGTAGATCTTCATTTATTATTATTTTTTTTGCTGAAAATAAAAACAAAGCACTTTTTCTGCAGATTGTAAATAAAATACTATAATTATTTAAAACATTGAATTATAGAAAATTATAAAAAATATAGTATTATAATTTTTTAATAAATATTTCCTTAATAAACATTTTGTATGAAAATTGTGTTGTTTAGCTTTGGTATTAAATTGAGAGCAAACTTTTGGAATCTTCTAAACAACAATTTATTGTTTGACAAATGTTTGAACAGATTTAAGAAAAAAATTCATAGACTTTAAGAAATTCAATGGAATTTAATTTAGTGCATGAGAATTTTTTGTATTTGTTTGTTCAAGCAAAGTCATTACTAGACTTGGGCAAAAAACTTTGTCTGTCTCTTGAAATATTCTCTTTCTGCGAGGCACCTATAAAACTAGATAACTTAGAATCCCGTTTAATATTCGCTTAGTTTATTAAAATCAATATGTATTTTTCCTTCGAATTCCATTCATAAGAACAGAAAACTAAAACATTCTTTTTATGTTACTATTTATATTATTAATTTTGTTTTCAAATTCTTGTTAATTTTTAAGTTATATAACTGATATATCAAGAGCGGAGACTTAAGGAGAAATGAGTTTTGGGTTCAAAAGCTGCTTGTTAAATAATTATGCAAAAATGCTTATGTATGTCTTATTTTATAATTTTGGTGTCTATTAATAGGAATGTGGAGAACATCTTCTTCAGGGGCCAAGATGTCAAATATTCAAAACAAAAATAAACTTAACCCTTTGCTTTTGACTGGTATAATAAATGGACCAGAATGGCTTCATCATTCTAAGCGCCGTAAGCATAAGGTTAACATGTGTATAACTACTAAAAAAGTCCTTTTTGGGTGATCCTGGGCAAGTGCCCCATTGTTTGCTCTTACAAAAGNACACTTTTTTTTATTTCCAATGAGCTGCACAATAAGTCTTCCCGATGAGCAGACCTAGTGCGTTCTCCAGAAGTGGTATCCACTCTTTCAGGACCACCACAATGGGTGAGATACCGTTGGCCATGTTAATTTGGACGTCTAGTTTCTGCCACACTAGATGGCAGCACCAAAACTCTTATTTGGATGCTAACGTGCACTAGAAATTTAATTTTGCCGGAAATGCCAACTACTACTGCTAGTACTAGTATGCCAGGTACTAGTATTAGGTACTATATTAGACACTGTTTAGATACTTAGTAAATTTTTTCAACAGAAAATACTCTTTGCTAAGAACTACCACAAAAGGAAAAAAAGAAATATGTTTTCATTCATAAACTTGTTGTATTTAATACAAATGTAAATGATATTTTTACATTTATTTGAAATAAATAGTAAAATAGTAATTTTTGTATGACGCATTTTCCAGAGTAATAATTATTTATCTTACTTTTCCTACATACGAAGCACTCTTCTCTTCAGGTGTTCTTGCAAAGAAGATTTTTGGCAATGGAGTAATCTCCTCTAAAGGAGTGTTTCTTTTAAGAAATACTGCTTTGCACATGGGCGATATGGCAGTAATAGTATAAGATACTCCTAAAAAGCAAAAATGCATCATATTTTTTAAAAAAAGGAATGTAAGAACAATGAATAGTTCAAGGAAATGGTTGATATCAAATTATAAAATTTATATTTACTGCCATAAAAATCAAATATTCTAGTTCCTTCTATGAAACCTTCGTCATCAAACTCGTCCAATCGAACTAATTTTAATTTGGTATCATGCCAAATCTAAAAAAAAGGGGGGGGGGGAATTGGGTAAATATTGTGCAAAAATGGAATATTTTACAGAAACTATATTTTCTAATTCTACAATGTGTATTATTTACCCCATAATCAATGCCATAGCAATATATACAAATTTCTAGAGCTCTGTCACATGTTTTCAATCTTTTTTTCATTTTAAAAATCACCTTTTTGTTTTACATATGGACTGATGTTCATAAATAAGATTTGAAACTTTAATTTTTATGAGTATATAAAAATATTTTTTTCTATAAATTGATAAATTTAATCTATTTAGTTTCACTCATTACCTCTTATACCTAAAACTTTGAAAATGTAGTCTAGCCATTTCCTTCTGAAAGAAAAAAACTGATAAAATGGATGGTATTAGTCAGAAATGGTCAAGTACTGGCTGTTAGAATGGGCTTAAGGTGCAATTCAGTTAACGCAAGAGGATGAAAGAGTAAGATGCCTTGTGCTTTACAACGGGCTACTTCGAATCTGGTGTTATCATGAAAAAACTGCTTGCCTATTGATATTTACTGTAACCATTACTAAAAATATATGTCAGTTGGTTTGAGCTTGTCAATCACTATCTGTAAGCGCAGTAGCAGTAGCTTAGATAATTCCAACAATTTATCTGCTGTAAATTGTTAGCAAAAAGAATTTTTTCGAAGTCAATGCAACAGTAATTGCCACATTTTTTTATTCGTACTGAATCTTTATTATACGGGTATCGGTTTTCTATCTGCATTAATTATTACGTTGATTTTCTATTTGCGTAATTTTTATTTTGAATAAAAAAAAATATATATAATTTTTTATCTGGTGCAAATAAGTATTTTAATTAGGTCTATAACTAAGTGCAAAAAATTGTATATAGCCAAGTTTTAATTTTATTTAAAATTTTGACCAAGTCAACAATTGCAGGTATTGTCACTGAAGTGTTATGATTGATCTTTGATTGTGGGTGTTATTTTTCTATCTGCGTTGAATAAATAATTTCTTAACTTCTATATAGAATTAAAAAATTTATATGTTTTTTATTCTGTAAAAATAAGTGATTTGATAAATTTATAAATCGGAAAAAATATAGTAGTCAATTACTTATTACATACTGTTTCTATAATATTTCTCACTGTCCTCATCTTATTATACTATAAAAAATAGATACTCAAATTTCACGCAACTTTCTTCATTTTTGGCTAAACCATTTCCTGGTACATGCTCCGAGCAAAAATTTCGTTGAAGTGACAAAAAGTCAGGAAGAAAGTAAGAAGTATCGTCACCTCGTAAAGAAACAAATTTCGTCAAAATTAAGAGAAATATTTTTTGTGGTGTTATTGTGTGGTAATTTTTCCACAAAAAAAAATAAAGAAAGAAAGAAATTATCACTTAATGTTTCCATCTTTTCTAACAATCACTGTATTGTGGGCACACAAGAAAGACTACTAGACAAAACACAAACAACACATACAACACAACAGCCAAAACAACACAAGAAAGACTTCTAATGACAGGGAAATAAATTACACCCATGCCCGAAGCTTGATTCGATCCCCTGATCCGATGCCAACTCTTTGACCTTTAAAGCCGTGATAGAGGAAACATTTTTCAGCCTATATTTGAGAGTTCGCGTTTCGTCGCAAATCACGTGATTTCGTGACGAAATGATTCTCGGAATTAACAAAATACTGCTCAATGATTGCTGAATCGTCAAATGTGTGATTTTATTTCTAAAAGTGTAAGCAGATATCAATTTTCTAGAAAAGTAAATGAAAAGAAAACTATGCAGAATTTCACATTCAAAATGTTAAAATATAATTTTTGAAGTAATGCACTTACTCTTAAGTACTTAGATCGAATGGTAGATTCCGTTCCAGAGTTCATTTGTTCTTCAACCGAGTCGTAAGAAAAGCTGTAATATTCAGGAAAGTCTGGAAAGGCTTTGTCACTTGGAACGTCGCAGTGAACACCAACAGGTGGCTGAAACACGCTGTCGTCTTTGATGTAAGATCTGAATCGATAGAAGTTATAAGTGTGGAACACTTCGTTTCGTTCTCTGTCAGGAGGTGGACATTTTACAGAGACAGATGCCAGAGTAGGTTTGCAAGTATGGCTGTCACAGTCTGGTAATTCAACTTCTGGCTCTAAGAAAAACCAACATGTAAATAAAGGAAGAAATTCAAATAACGAAGAACTCGAAAGGAATCTAAAGTGTTCATTAACTAATTACGATGATCTTTTATACACAGATCCACATTCGGGCCATTGAAATTTCAGACACTCAACCTCCGTGACCCCTACCCCTTGACCACAATAGGCTTTACTTTTTGTGCACAATGTTTAGAATGTTAATCAATAATTGGAGAAAGAAAACTAATGTATTATGTTCCGGCTAAGGAAATATTTTGGGGACAAAAATGAATTCTTACAATAATAAAATCAGACTATTTTTCTCTGAATTATCGTCAATTTAATGATAAACTTTCATGCCCTGTAAAAAATGGGAACTGAAATATCACGAAACTTTCTTCGTTTTTGTCGAAACTGTTTCCTGGTATATGCTCCGAGTATAAATTTCGTTAAAGTGACGAGTTAACCATCACAACTTCTTCTGGGAAAAGGCCTTCGTCAAAATTAAAAAGAATATTTCGATATTCTATTTTTTTATTTCCCTCCCCCGAAAAAAAAATTCTTAGTGCCTAATGCATCTGACTTTTCTATTAACTTGTCGTGGACGCCATGTTGGTAGATCAATGTTACCCCAACAACACAAGAAAGACAGATCGATAAATTAAGTCTGTGTCTGGAGCAGGACCGAACCAGGGACCTTCCAAGAAAGATGTCAATTTCTTGACTACCATACAGACGATCGGATTTTTTGGTCTCTTTATTTTTTTACTTTTTATAATCTAGTCTTCGTTCTAGTTTCGCCCATCCAGTTAACATTATCTCACAATATATCACGAGGAAGTTCCAAGTTAAAAAACATTTTTGTCATATATTTGAGAGTTAGCGTTTCGTCCCAAATTAAGTGATTCCAGGACGAAATGATTCTTAAAATTATTAAATTACAGATCAAGGATTGCTGAGTTTTATTTATGATAGTGTGCAGACATGTTTAATCGCCAAGGAGATTTGAAGCCAATACTTGCGCTTTCACGAAGATGAAAAATTAAATCGGTGACATTTGAATGGTGATAATTAATATTCAAGCGAGAAGAAAAGAAAATGCTATCAATATATGGTAGGCGACCTTACAGAAAAGAGGAATTAAAAGCCTCAAAATCAGTCTGATTGCCGTATGAGACCTGAAGGTATTTCCAAATACTTAACTCACGCAAAACTGCTTTCTGAAATGTACCTAATTTTTTCCAGCAATTAAATGGGTTTTTGTGTCTTTAATCTCGTCTTCGTCAATGATTCCATACATTTTGAAAAATTTCATTGTTAGTTTATGGTCAGTGACAGGAATAGGAAAAAAAGTGTTCCTATCTCTGACCGTAGAAATAAAATTATTTCCGTAGGGTTATCATGACCATAAAAATACAGATCTATCCCTAATTTTTGTTCTTGATACTAAATATGGCCATTGACCTTAAATCAATTTTAAGCTCGTTACAATCTATTTTCAATTCGCATAAATTAACGATAAACTCTACTAGCTTTGTGAAGTTTGTTACAATTTCTGTACTTTTTTTGTGAAAGAAATGAGCTGGCTGTTTAAATTAACGGTTAACTCTATTTGTTTTGCTGATGTTTGTTTTAATTACTGGTAATTACAGCTACAGGTAATTCATGCAGACCCATAGAAATGCTGATATTTTTAAAAAAATTTAAATTATTTTATTTCATACTTTTTCATCTTGGGATTCATTAAGTATTTCAAAACAATTGCACCTTATCTTTTTTTTTTCCAGAAATGCTTTTAAGAAGCCTAACTATAAATAAAATAAACAAGTGGTTTCAGATAACTTAACAAAAGAAAAGTTTTAAAAAAATGATTAATTTCTTTGGTATATTTTCAAATTGAAATGAATAAAACAAAACAATATTTACTTGAGAATACATGCTGAACGTCACAGTTATATAAATCATACATAGTTATATTAAGAACTGCTGTAAAAATATATGATGGAAACATAGTAAAGTCCTGCCTGTCAAATTTCTAAAAATAAAAAAATAGATAATATTATTTACAAAACATTTAATGTTGCATTAATCTTACACTAACTCAATTTTTTTCTGTTTAGCATAAATAATAACAATGATAAAAATAAACAATTATTTTTAGTATCAGTTTGATTTTTATATTCAAAAATTTAATTTTGTTTTCCTGGATTTTCTAAATATTTATTTTGATTTAAATTTTCCTGTTACTTTTGGGATAGCATATACGCTAATATACTATAATGGACTTTCAGCTTTTAAATTTTTTTTTTTAATTTCTCAAGAAATACTTAGAGGATCATTTTGTTACTTTAGATATAATTATTATATATTAGGACCCACGTAAGGTGCAGTGCAGCAGGGGAAGAAGATAATTACATTTAAAGGTTTTTCCATCCAAACGTTAAACAAAAGTTTTACAGGCCACAGGACAAAATTTATTGCAGGCCCCATCCTCAAAGCACGAGTATACTTATTTTTGCATGTTGTAGAATTTTTCAAGAAATTACGCAATACATCCACTTTCGCTTTTAACATTTGGCCAGAATCATGCACGATCATCCGATTGGACTATAGCACTGCTAATACCCATGGATGGCTATTCACAGCTCGTGATTTTGTGAAAAGTGCTGCTAGAACTATTAAACTACTTTCCAGCACACATCACAGGACGCATGTGGTTCCAACACAACGTGGCACCCCCAGCACATGACAGTGTGGATGTGCGTAATGCTTTAGCTATGATATATCCGGAAGCGATGGATAGGTCTTGGTGGTCCAATAAACTGGCTGGCCTACTCACCCAATTTGTCATCTCAGAGCTTTTTCTTCTGTGATTATATAAAGAGCCTCATCTGCGACGATTATCCCATATATTTTCCTGAATACCTTGTCACCCGGATCTACAGTTGCTGATACTGTAAGATTCATGGTGTTTTCACCAATACACGGTGGTCTCTCCTTAGACGGTGTGAAGCATGTGTTAATGTTGACGGCCGCAATTTTGAACAGTTCCTGTGTTGGCGACTTAGGGTTGTTTAATTTCATTTTGTTGAATAAGACGCTTTTTTTTCTTCATTTTATCGGTTTCTTTTCATTCTACCTCAGTCTGTCCTGTTTCCCATCATTTCGGGACACAGCTTCTAGCGCTTCATACCCTAGCGCTTTACGACTTGCGTTCCAACCATGGATTGTATAGTAATTTGGGTTTGTCTAGTTCTGTTCTATAACCCTCTAACATATGTACCATGAGTTATTCTGACACATGTACCATGGTGCATTAGTATATGCGATTAAAATGTCGTTTCAAATAACCCAACCTAGGGAATAAATCACAATTTTATCTAAATGGGCAAAACGAAGTGCCATCAAGGAAATGTTTGCATAAAGAAAATATAAAATTTCAGCATCCGTTTTTTTTCAAGCTGTGTAAATAATGTTTGTGTCTCATCATTATTCAAAACAAATATTAAAAAAAATCGTACTTAAAACATACTGATTTGGTGAAGAAAAAAATCTCGTCAGGTGTGGATATGATTTTCTTTTTAGTGACTTCATCAATGCTGAAGGGAAAGAAAGTTGGCGAATTTTCATCTATCTCAGATACAGTACAATCAATATCTGCAACAAAAGTTTGTAATAAATTGCATGTTTGTAAAAATTTAATGCGCAATACAAAAAATGAGTCGTTTTGGCTCAGAGAATAGAGTTTTGAATCCCAACGATGCCTGTTAATTCCGCACCCGGCTGGTACCAACCACAGTGCTTACGTAAGAATATCCTCAATGGTAGATGGATCATGGTTCAGAGTCTTGTTATTGTTAGGCTAACCGTGGATGGCTTATGTGTTTTTTTCTCTCCGTGTACCGCAAATACAGTTAGTTCCATTAAAAATTCATCCACTGAGGCAAATTCTTCCCAACACTTGATCCAGAAGTTCCCTTGTCTTCTGGATTGGATTCGGAATTACAAGACTACGGAGAGTATTATCTGTCTTAAATTCAAAAGTCGTGAACTGAACGAAGGTTATAAAGTAAAAGACCAAAGGTTATGAAAGATCCGATTACGTAATATCATTATACATTTAATATGTAATATCATTATAACTTTTTCCGATATTTCATAATACATTCAATTATGAAGGTGTTATGAAATCTCAGAAAAAATTTTGTTGAAATGAATCACGTTATCAAAATACACTTCTATGATATATTTCAATCATTCTTTAAGGGAAACTTTTTCTATGACTTTTTAATTGAGAAATATTTTTAAGTTAAGTCGATCACAGCTGCATGTTAGGCAAATACATTAAACGTTGATACAAATTTCTTTCATTAATGTGTTTAGATAAATTACTTGCCTTCAATATACAGTAATTTGTTTTCATTGAATTTGAATATGCTGATTGTTGTTTCATTTTGGTAAGTATATGACATCACAGCTCTATTATTGAGTCGATCGTAGAATACGGAACCATCCATTTCTCGTTTCTCAGTGTGGAATATTCCTTGAACTTCCACTTGAAATATGTCTGGAAACGTTGGCTTTGGCGGATCGACCTCTAAAATAGATAAATAGCAACATTTTCATTTCTTCTTACTCTCAGACTAATCCTATCAAGCTTTTCTAAATCCACAAAAAATAGGAAAATATAGTTAAATATTAAAACAAACAGTAAATGGTCAGCATTAAATCACGCAAAGCTATTGCCCACGCTTATTCTATTATTTTGGTACTTTGTTACCTGTCGCTAGGAAGCTGAGTGTTCTACTTACACTCATTTATGTGTAATTTATTTTATTGGTAAATCGTCTGCGATTTCGTAATAAAGATTACGATTAAGAACATCGATGTTATTTTGATACTAATTGGCTGCTCCTTGCTCACTGACGTAAAACAACCCTTGAAGTACGTCTATGCAATCTTATATGGTTTGCTTGAAAAATCAATATCGATTTGCTCGATACTAAGTTAAATATATTTAGACTAAAATCTTAATGATTTAAATCTATTAGTAAAATCTTTAAAATGAATTCCTCTTTAAATAGTTAAACTTTTTATTTATAATAAGTTATTGAAATAAGAAATTTCACTGCAGTGTACGTTAGTAGCCGGTGTGAATTAATGATATTTACTCACTATCGCATATATAATGCTTGCGCTCTTTGTATACAAGTTGTTGCTCAAATACTGGTTTAAATAGCTTTTTTAAAAATAAAGTAGCTAAACTTACCAGGGATTATGTTTGTCATAGATGTAATTTGGTATGTTTTTTCCTGAAAGAAATAATTATTTCACCATTAATAATTAATATTGAGTTAATCAATTAATTCAATTTTTTATCTTTCATAAATAAAGAATATTTTGTAATTGTTACATAGTATTTAGTTACATAGCGTTTATAGTATTCAGTTTCATTGAGATTTAGTATAATGATTACATTTAAAATTATATTTAAGACAATTATAAACATTTTTAGTTTTTTTTTTCATTAAAAAGTACACAATGGCTGCAATCTCATAACATGGTACTTGAGTTTAATCTGCATAAATACTAATGATTTTCTGTAAAAAGCAGTTCGGTTGTAACTTACCACAGCTAAATGATTTTCAATCGAAAAAAAAATTGGTTTGTTTAGGTAAGAAAGCATTAAAAAGAGTTTTTGAATTTAAAAATCCATAAAAAAATTATCAAAGTTGTATTCTTAAGAATCATTACTAGATGTGAAAGTTTAAATTAAGGAATTTAAGAAATAATTAATAATCAAACTCGCGTTTCTCAGAAGCTTAAATAGGTATAAGAGGGTTAATTTAAGAATTAGAAAAATGACTAATTAATGTTGCGCTATTCAGAAGCATCAATAAACGTGCTAGGGTTAATTATAGAACTTGAAAGTGGTCTAGATTTCTATAGTTTTAGTTGAGTCTAAAGTCTTATAACTTAGAAGTATAACAAGTTCTGAAAGGGTTAATTAGAAAATACAAAACGCCATTAAGAGTTGATGAAAGTTATGTTGCATAGAGACTTCACTAGATGTGAAAAGAACAGTTAGAGAACTCAGAAAGAAAATTAAGAATGCAAAGTTGTGTTGATTAGAAGAATTACTTGGTGTGAAACTATTAGTTCCAAAAGTCAGAGAGGATGCTGAGGATCAAAACTGTTTTATTTAGAGGTAGTACTAGGTGGGAAGGAACTAGAGACGACAGAAAGGGAATTAAAGAACAAAGTTATATTGATTGAAAGCATCACTAGGCATTAAAGAATTAGTTAGAGAACTCAGGAAGTAAAGGATCAAAGTTGTATTGATTCGAAGCGTCACTTGGAGTGACAGTATTAGTTAGAGAACTCTGAAAGGGAGTTAAGGATTAAAGTTGTTCTGCTTAGAAGCATTACTAGGTGGAAAATAATTAGAGATCTCAGAAAGGAGCTAAAGATCAAAGCTGTTTTACTTAGAGGCATTACTAGGTGGGAAAGAATTAGAGACCTCAAAAAGGGAATTAAAGGACAAAGTTATGTTGCTTGAAAGCATCACTAGGTGTTAAAGAATTGGAGAACTCAGGAAGTTAAGGATCAAAGTTTTGATTCAAAGCATCGCTAGGTGTGAAAGTGTTAGCTAGAGAACTCTGAAAGGAAGATAAGGATCAAAGTTGTGTTGCTTAGAAATATTGCTAGTTGGGAAAGAATTGGAGAACTCTGAAAAGAAATTAAGGATGTGATGCTGATATGAAGTAATAAGTGTGAAAGGATTGATGAGATTCCTTTATTTTCGTAATAAACTTTTAAAGAATAAAATCAGAAATGGTTTAATTTCTAACAATTATGTAATTTACAACACTGAGAGTAACAATAGCATGAAGTCAGTGATTTAGGCATTCTGAATCCTATATTATTCATTAATCATACACATGCCTGATAAATGGGCCCTGTGAAACAAATTTAAAATTTGTGGAAGTTTACAAATTTTACATAGTAATATTTCATTTAAATGCATTATTGAAGGTTAAGTATGTATTTTATTACTCAACCCTGTCCCGCTCGCGCAGGGGGCATCCAAACTGATTATTGATTATTGATTACAAACATTAAATTTAAATTGATTTAAATTTACTTCAGTGTTGATATTAACGTTTTAAGCAAATATATATATAACACAAGTTACGAATTTTTAAGTCAATTAAAACGTCCGTTTTGTATAAGTTTGATGGAATATGTTTACAAAATATATTTAAAATGTGATTTTTTTCATCAACTAAAAGACAATTATTACCTGATTATCTTTTACAATAACAATGGTAAACTTTCCAGCAGCTGCAGCTTTTTCTATTATTTTGAACATTTCTTCCATGCCAGGTTCATTTTTATTTACTTTGGTCCCTACAAAATATAATGGCATTTAAAATACAAACAGAGCACATGAACGCACACCAATTGTTTTATTTAATTTTTTTAATACTAGATAAAAACCACAGATGCCAAGATAGAAAGAAAATGAATAACAGAACAAGATAAAACAGCGGCTGACACGCAAATCAGGGTAAAACGCATTTCCACACGTTACAGAGGGTAGGGGGAACCAATGACATTAACAGGGGAATCAGGATTTAAATGAATAAAGCAAGATTCCAGGGTATCAAGATGAGTGGATGTGACTTAAGTGGAAATAATTTTGGCATTGTCAAAATTGAATTTGTGCCTAAGATTTCATAAATGTGAGGCAATTAAGTATTTCTCAAATGTCTGTTATCAATAATTCGAGAAATCTTCCAATGCTTTACATTGATGGAACTTTGGACCTGAATTCAATTTCGACAATGCTAAAATTATTTGCACCACAGTCACAATTGAATTTCAATCAGTTTTCTGAATCAGGTTTCATAATTTCAATTTTCATTCAGGTAAAATTAACAGCTATTTATGTTTTAATGGGATTTCGGGATTTTTTGCTTCTCATAATCGCCCCTTAAAATCTTTTGAAACCTAATTAGGCAATTTAATTGGTAAGAAGTTATAGTCATGTTTAGCAGTTCTTATTTAATAGTAGCATTTAATAGTACCTATGTGTAATATTAGTTACTGAATATAATGATTAGTGGTGATTTAAACTTTCTGTTAAGAGATCTTTTGCAGATCTTAGATTTAGCATGTGTGCTCAATGTAGATGAACAAATAATTTAAAAATATCCCAGTTCATGTTCACAATGTTTATTGGATTAGGAGCAAGTTTAGTTTTTCTCTTTATATAACTATTTAACTTAAGAAAATATCACCTTTTCATAAGTTTGTGTGTAATAAGTTTGAGTTTGGGTGCAATTAAATAAACATTTAATTTTAATTAGTATTGCTAAAATTATCTCACCATCAATTTCTATTTTTTCCAGTATCCAACCAGTAAACTCCGTGAGGTAAATTCCGTCAAACTTTCCCTAAAAATTAATTACATTGTATTTTATTGCTTTTTTGACACTTATGAAAATACTAAATACGTAAAATAGTGAAGTACAGTAAATAAATACAAAAATTATAGCTTACTTTAAGCTGATTAATCCTAATAACTGAGGCATCTGTTTCATCCATTATTTTTCCGTAGAATTTTTCCAAGACTTCTTCATATTCGTAACTATTTTTAACCATCGGTGGACCTAGATTTATAAATTCCAAATTAGTTTTATGAAAACCTGATTTCTCACCAGGGTCATGTTGAAATTTTTTTCTAATAGCATCCTTGCATTTATTATACTATCTTAATGTTTTATATAAAAATAAATATTCTATTCTTATTATTTCCATTATTATCACATAGTTTTGTTGAACGATGTGCTATAATAAAAGTATGTAATTTTTCTTTTGTAGGAAAGTCTAAACTCACACTGTTTATGGAAACATAAATGCTTTACAAAAATGATAAAGCTTTTTGTTGTATTTTATTTTTAAACATGTTTTCTGCTCATAATTTTTAAATTAATTTAACCATGCTTGACAAATTTTTTTCGCGTGATTTTATTGGTGAAATAAATCCTGCCAACGGAACTTTATCCTTCTATTCCTTTTTTTTTTCGATTTGACATTCGTTATTTAGTATTATTTAAACCAAATAATTAAGTAAAACACAATTGTAGCAATCGTCTAAAATTTTAAAATATCAAGAAAAAATAAAAAATGAAATTAATAAAAATATATTTAAATATTAAAAATATATCCCTTGTGTAAAGCTTTACATTTTGAAAATAATCAGCAATAAAAAATATTTTAAAATTTTTATCATTATTGCAATGTTTATAAACTTGCAAACATTACAGCTTGGTTACTAGCCAACTCCCACTCTTGGTTATTGATATATTTGGTGACACGATGACCAGTTAAAATTGAATTTCACTAAGAACAACGTTTAAAAATAATAAGTAATAAAACAAGTAGTTAAATTTCTACTAAACCTAAATGCATTTCAGTGTTACATTATTACACAGCGTATAGATGTATGACACCGAAATGAGCTGAAGTTTTAATAAAAATTTGACTATTTGTGATTTTTAAACATTGATTTTAATGAAATTCATTTTTATAACAGTATTATTTTCGGACAGTAAAGACGGGCCAACCTTCTTGAAGAGCTTATTGATGCAATTCTGGTTGCGATCTAGGAAAGATTAAGTTAGTAGTTGTTTGGTTTTCTTAATTTTATAACCACCTAACTTGCATTCTGTTCATGGCAAGCAATTGAATCCGTGGAAGTTTTGTGGCATGATCGTCGTGTCTTGCTTTCACCCAGAAAACCGCCACGCATAAATCGTTGGAGAAAAGTTGTAATCGTGGAAGCTTTTATTGATACACTTATAAAACTTTCCCATTACTTGTTCAGTGACAATAACTTAAATCCTGAAAATAATGTAACGATTGCGTCAAATTTTAGAAATGTTAAATTTAAAATTCACCATATTCATTATTCAGTTGAAAGAATCAATTTGAAAGAATGTAATGAAGCGAAATTCATAAAAGCAAGAAATACCAAAATTACAACATACCATCTACTTTCAAACGAAAACCTTTCTTCTTGTCAGCATCATAGCATGAGGACACATCAAAGGCTTCCCATTCTTTTTGTTTTGACCGGAAATTGCTTATTGACGTATACGTCAGTCCAACCAACTGAAGCACAAATAGAATAATAAGCAAGTATAAATGACTTGCGCAAATATGTTTGCCTAAATATGAACTAAACTTTAAAAAACAATGTTAAGCAAATAAATTGTTTAAATAATCAAAATACAAATTGCCTTACAAACCACCATATTAAAACTAATTTACCACATTAAAAACTATCCAACAACAATACCAACACACAGTACAAAAAATCCCTATTTAATTCTAAAATTGCCCAAAATCACATATTGATGTACTAACTGATCTACGAAGAACCAACACTTCCTAAATTGGCAATTTGTAAAGACGTTGAAAAAAAAATTATAAATATCTAGTAGCAACATTTAGCTAAACATTATGTTCGTCTCAATTTTAAAAGCTAAACTTTGAATTGTTTTAGCTTCCATGACAAAACAACAGCTCAAACATAAGTATATAAGATATACTCAAAATAGGCAATTATACTTTTAACTGTTGGAGAAGTAACTTCATCTTCAGAAAATTCTTAATATCTTAAGTAATATTATACTACCACCTTGTAAAATAATCTTTTCCAGCGACGGCGCCAGTTGGAAAATAGTTCATGTTACTTTGTAGTCGGCGTTGAACAGTCGATCTAATTGTGAGTTTACGACTATCCTTACTCCGTACCTTTTGAACACAACCCAAAAGACAAGGTAACTTCTGGATCAAACATTTTGACAAACTTTGAAGCATTTTGATGGAACATTTGCATTATATGAAGTGAAAAAGCGAAAACCTCCGATGGTTTGCCCGATGGCTAGAGGAAGTTGACAGATGTGCTGTTCACAATAATAAGCTAACCAACCACACTACACAAATAATCAAATTTAAGATCAAAATTGTGCAGTAATACACATTGCAATGCAAGACGGCATTTTTACATTGACGACACAACACAAAAAGTCCCTTTCTGATTACAGCAAAGCAGAAATAGATCATGACTTACAGTCGGTTTTCAAACAATTTTGCTTTGAAATCTATAAGGTCTTTTTTTTTCAAACTTAAGCGATCAATCGAAATATAACATATTTCATAGTATTATTACTAAATTGACAGATTATTCGATAATATGTATATTAAAATACATATTATCATACATACCATTATCATAATATGTATATTAATACATAAGTTATGAATTATTTAAAATTAATAATTCTATACCGTGGTACAATATTAATGTTTCAAAAATGATTATTCGCGTTATAAATGTTAAAATTACTTACCTCAGAAATTTCCGTAGTATCATCCCTTTGGTATGCATACGCGTCAACGTGTGATATTTGAAAATAATTACTGTCATGTTCATCATCAGCCTGTGGAGCATTCTGAAAGTTTTAAAAATATCATCTTAACTATTGTAAATGCATATACAGGGTCTTCCGAATCGACCACTCTTAAAATTTATTTTTAGAATCTTTGCTTTTAAAGAAAACAAATAAATGTACTTATTGGATCCGCAAATTAATAAATAAACGAGAACAAACGAAACTCTACCAAAGGCTGACAAATCATTATGTTTTTCTGTATAGGGAAAATGGAATTAAAAACCTCAAATCCTGAGTGAGCGGGCTTGTATCTAACTAATATATATTTCCATTTTTTAAAACTAGAAAAGTTTCCCCAATACACTGTTAACCAACAGAAGAAAAAAAATTTCAGTAAAGAAATGTTTCATCGGAACAAAGAATAAAATTCAAAATATTCTCCATAAAACGAAGTGATTATGTCTCTGTAACGATTTTTCAGTTTATTCTTTCAATTTTTGTCAGTTTAGGTGTGTCAAAATTTAATATCAAGAAATGAAAGCAATGAAAAATTCCCAATTTTTTTTAAGTAAAGTAAGCGTAAATATATATTAGAACATGTTTTTTGTTATATTGTCTTCACATTTGTGTAATTTTCATGCAAAAAAATTATAATGCTAATAAAGTAATGATGTACATTAACTTCTTTTTCAATTGAAAGTCAAACTTATAAACTTTTGAACAGGCTAATATTTTTGCAACATTTACTTAACAGCCAAATTCTGTAACTTCTGTAACAATTTCCTAACAGTAACTAATGTATTTCGTTATTGAGACTACTGTAGTTCACTTAGTGACAAGCATTTTTTTAAAAATTTCATTGACAGATTTTATTAAAAATTACAATATCTGAATTCCTGCCACTAGCAAAAAGAATTTTATGATGCTCATGGATTCAATATGTTTATGCAATGCTTTGAGTAATGTATACTGTAGCAGTTTTAAAATTAATGCTTAGTCAACAAAAGTTAGCCAACTTATTGTAAAAAGAAATTAACAAACTTTTCTTATGCATAAACGCAAATTCTTATTAATTCTTATTAAACGTAAATTCTTATTAATTCTTATTAAACACGAATTTTTATTTATTCTTATTAAGCGCAAAATTCTCATTAATTCTTATTAAACTCAAATTCTTATTAATTCTTATTGAACGCGAATTTTTATTTATTCTTATTAAACGGAAAATTCTTACTAATTCTTATTAAACGCAAATTCTTATTAATTCTTATTAAACGCGAATTTTTATTTATTCTTATTAAACGCAAAATTCTTATTTACTCAAATATTTCCATATCCAGGGTTGAGGCGTAAAAAAGTTTTTGTAATAGTAACGTTTATCATGACTCTATAAAATTTTAAACAAGAAACATTTGAGTATTCGTACTCTTTTGTATATTTAGTCATGCCGTTTAAAGTCTACTGAAAGTCTATTAAAACTATTTTTAGTATGAAAGTATGACATTGAACTAATAAAGTTCTTAGAAAAAAGTAATAATTACATCTGTGAAGTAGAATTCTAGAACAACTGTGGATTGAGCATCTCTAACTTCATAGGATTGTGTCCAAACATCAAAATCCATTCCATGAACGCTTCTCTGCAAAACATAGAGAAAAAAAATTGAAAAAAAAACAGTTATTATAACTACAAGAATATGTTGAACAATTAAAGCTAGCGAAAAAGACATGAAAATTACTTGTATTTTTTTTTTAAAAAAACACTGTACACAATGAAGTAAAAATACGCAAATTGGCAAGAACGAGCTTCCCCTTTTCAGTTAGTGAGAAAACAATTATAAAACTGTATCAATAAATCCTAAAAAAAATATTGACAAACAGAATTCTATGGATTTTTACTGAAAGTTCAATTTTTACCATTTAACCTGTATGCAGAAAAATTACGCAAACTGAAAAAGATCTCCATGTGACACACCGCAATGAAAATGTTTAAAGCAAATGAATGATCTTAACTAATCGTTACCATATTAAGTTTAGATAAAAGCAACTATTATCTTTTACATTCAACTTTTCCAATAAAATTTACTGTAAATGTTTAAGGCAGCTATTGAGAATTTTACAGTAATATTTATCTCAAAAATTTCCTCAGTTTTTCAAAATGGACTCTAAAGTCATATGTCATAATCATATATTTTTATATAAAGTTTCTTACTTTTCCAATGTATACGACATCTTTCCTGTCTTCTGGTTTCTTAGAGAAAAATATCTTTGGTAGCAAAGTGATATCATAAAAGGGAATATCTTCATCTAGAACGTCTGCTTGGCATATTGGTATTCTAGCAATAACAGTGTATGAAACCTCTAAGAATAATAATAATTACTATCAATCAGTACGATCGGAATAGAATTCAAAATTAGATAAATGAATAAATATTAATTATCTGATATATCGATTCTTTCAAAATGAGCGATGATTAGAAAAATTGCTGCAATTTAAAAAAAGCTGAAAGATACAGAAATGTAAGGTGCGCTGCATTCTGATTTAAAAAGTAAATAAATAAAACACTCGTTTTTTTTTTCATTTTTATTTATTTATTTATTATTTATTTTTTTATCACATTTCAAACTTAGAAATGAAATTCTTCGACAGGTAGCACGGCTTTCTGAAAAAAAAATATTTTCTATTGCATGTTGGACCTTTCGAACTGAAACATTTGCATGAGCATCTGCTAATTTTGTCCTCAAACTGCAAATGCTGGTTAGTTTTAAAATATTTTTTTAGAGTTTTTATCAGTTACTAGTGCCATCTGTTGGCAGGTCTCGTAATTTAGTTTGAAATTTGGTGGGAATAAATGCTTGAGTCATTAAGCAGAGCCCCCAGAAATATAATATTTCTATCTCCTTCCGTTTAAATTTAAATGTTTTTTTTTATTAAATCATCTGTATCTTTTAGGACACCCGTTACAAAACGTATGAAAAGATAAGGGGACTTTTTTAAAGAGATTATTATTTAAAGAGAGAAATGTCTGAAACTTTATATCATTTTATAAATTATATAACTGTTTGATCATATCACATTAAGAAGAAGGATAGTGGATCAGTTTGAGAATTTAATACAATGGTAAGCCACGTTTTCCCCCAAAATGGCATTTTTTTAAAAAATTTTTGTGAGGAATTAAAAGCACTTATAAAGAAAAAAAAATGCTATCGTCAGATATAACCTGAATACAGATGAATCAGGATTCTATGATTCATCCCTTGAGTATAGAATAGATGAGAAAGAAAAATCTATGGTTCAGTTGATGTTTTTTGTGGGTGGGGGGTGGACTGACCGCGAGTCAAAAATTCTAGAATGTGCATATCAGTTGATGGTCATATTTCCTCCACAAGTGGTCAGAATTACCACCAAATTTTCCCTTTTTCATGAGTTTTTTAGGGGATCGACAGTGAGCTAAAAATTGTTCTACGATGTACATCATTTGATGGTTAAAAATCCCCCGCAGTGGGCTTCCCCAAATGATCCTTTTCAAGAGTTTTAATGGTACAATTGTGCCCACCCCTTTAAGAGCCTAAACATGCAACTTAGGTTAATTATATTTTTCCAATATCTAAATGATTTAAAATATCACCCTGAACTATTAAAAAAGAATTTTTTTTTCCAACTTATTAAATCAAAATTTATCTTTCAAACCTATTTGTAAAACGCACTAAAGTTTAACATAAAAACAAGAAAAGTGGTCTCAATTAATCCAACTGACCCTATAATACTTACTTCCATAAAAATCGAGTATTCTAGTATCTTGTAAAAGTCCTTGGCTATCAAACCCGTCAACTCGAATTAATTTCAATTTTGTATCATGCCAAACCTTAAATAAATTAATTTATAAAGTTAATTTGGCACATATTTATAATTCAATTGCACAATATTTAAAATGTATAGAATTATATTTAAAGAATTTTAACTACCCGTGCTAACAGAGAAATATATGTTCATAATCCAGCGCAACTATCGAATAAATTCTGGGATAGCTCGCCTAGGTAAGTTAAGATGAGGGGTGTCCGTGCATTATACAAAATATGGGTAGTAGTTCCCAGTACTCATCGCATAACTCCCGAAAATATGAGGGGAATTAGATATCCATTTGATATGTTTCATTTCCAAGGTTTCACATTCATTTAACATGTTTTTCTTCATCAAAGGTAGCAGAATATATTCTGAGTCAATCGACAGCGCAATCTTCATAACTCAAATTTGTCTGCGAGGCTAACTGAGTCTGACAGAGACTATTATCGTAAAGTTAGGCTTAATCAGATGCGTTTACAGCAAATTTAGCACATATGAGGTAGATAAATATATTATCTTAAAAATTTAATAATTTTTTGTTAAAAGAAATTGCGCATTTTAAAATGAATGAGACAGTTAAAACTCAAAAATTAATATTATTTTTCAAAATTTTTTTTATTGAAGAACATTATTTGGAAATTAATGAGCTAACTTTTCTCTGGCTTACGTAATAAACAAATTGAGAAAGTTAAGGAAATGAAAACCTCTTTTTGTCTCACCTCTAAGTAGTATTTTAGGTTTGGTTTTTAAATATGAGATGAAATATAATCTTCAGGCGTATGATGATTATTATTTTTAAATCTGAGATGAAAACTAATTTGCAGAGGCTCCAATGCCGATACCGTGCTGAAGGATTTCTGCTACCGGACCTATACCTTACCGGGATGTACTTCTGCACTCAGTTATAGACGATCCACGAACTACTTTTAAACTCTCTTTAATTATGTCATTCTTAATATTTCCTTAAACCTTTCTCCTTAGCTAATTTGTCTCCGGCGAAAACAAAAAGTCTGCAATAAAAAAAGTAGTAGGTCTGCAATATAAATAAAAAAATCTGCAATATAAAGTCTGCAGGGTATGGTGAAGGATTCTTCTCCACAATCTCCGAAAACAAAAATTTGCTAAGCTAACAAAGCTATGGTGACTGATGCACGTTAAATCTGTTAAGTCGCAAAGTCCTCCATGCTCCCATAACAAACCAATACCTCTGGAGGTACTGATCCAGGAGTTTCATTGTCTTCTGGATTGGTTCAAAATTTACAAGGCTACGGAGTTGAATATTAGTAGTCGTAAACTCAAAATTGGTCGGCTGTTCAACGACGGATGCAAAAAAAAAATAATAATAATAAGGTTGAGCCGTGGTGGCTATAGAGATAGAGCTTTCACTTTCCAATGAGTTGAACCGAAGTTTGAATCCCAGCGATAGCTGGTCGCGATATGAATTCCGCAACTAACTCGCACAGACTGGAGTGTTGACGTAAAATATCCTCAGTGGTAGATGGATCATGGATTAGAGTCCTCTTGCTGTTAGCCTAACCGTGGGAGAGGTTTGTAGGTTTCCTCTCCATGTAACGCCAATGCGGGTTACGGAGTTTAACATTAGTAGTCGTAAACCCAAAATTGGATCAGCTGTTGAACGACGGTTATAAGAAACTAACAAGGTTTAGGGATTTCGAGGTTATTAGGAAAACAACATTATCAGAAAGCATTCCGAAAGATGGCTTTAAAAGTCGTTTCTGCAACTTTTATATCCGAGTACAAAAGTAGTACATTAATTCAGGTGGGGGCTGTTTTGAGACATATTTGATATGTAATTCAAAACAGGCATTAGATTTGACCTGGAAATTAAGAGCCTCTTTTTATAATTCAATTTTAAACACATTTTTTGGAAAGTTTTCATAGCCGTAATTGAAAACATTAGTTAAGGAACATTTTAACAGGCATTTTTAAAGCTCGAAAAGAATTATGTTTTGGAACGTAAGTTAAAACATTAGCAAGAATCATAAGCTTAACATTGTTTTAAGAGGAATTTTCGAGATGCTTTATACTGTGGCGTAACTATCACTAGAAATATTAAATACCAACTAACTAGTATATAAGACAGGTTAACTTGATTCCATCAGAAATACCTTTTGATAGATGAAGGTTTACATAGTCGATAATTATATCCCCTTGATTCCCTTGTATTTAAGGAAGGTATATTGAACATGAAAATAATCTATTAGGCCTTTAATTATTCAGGTTTTCAATTTCTATTCTCCTTCGACTGTATAATTCGATTTTTTTACAAGTTGATTTTCTAAAATTTACTGAAAAGTTCTGGGGCTTGCAATGCAATATCAGAAAATCTTACTTTTTTATAAGTTGTGTAGACGCCTCCTCCTTCATTCCCTGGCTCTTTTTGCTCTTTGATGAGATTGTAGGAGAAGCTGTAATAGGAAGGAAAATCCGGGAATGGTTTGCGAGAGATTGTATTGCAATGGAGACCAACCGGTGGCTGAAACACGTTTTCATCGATGATAGTTGACCTGAATCTGAAGAAGTTGTAAGAATGGTGCATTTCTTCCTCGTCCGGGTCCAGTGGTGGACACTTCAACGAAAGGGAAATCATAGTCGGCTTACACGTGTGACTGTCGCAGTCCGGTAATTCAAACTCTGGCTCTGTAATATAAAAGTAAGGCTTTAGAACATATAAGTCGAGTGCATTAACCCCTTGCTTACGGTGTACCATTCGTACCATTACATGTGGTCCACGTGTTGTACCAGCCGTAAGTAAAATTTTAAAAGACAATAAATTTTTTTTCCAAAATTAGTATTTACCTTATCAACAAAATGGTGGCTAAAAAAAGAAAAAACAAAACTGCGCGAAATGTTTTTCATTGCCTATGACAAAAAAAAAACAACATGAAAAGACAAAAATATCGGAGAAAAAAGACAAAATTATCGGGTGCCGCGCAGTTCACTGGCTAAGATATGCAGCGTTTAAAAGAACGACACGTCGCCTGACAGTGATCCAAATGGAATAAATGTGAAATGAAAGTAGTATAATGATATGCATATATATGCTAGCGAAGGGTTAATTAAGAGCAAATATTGTAACAAACAGACTCATGAATTGAGTAGTTCATGTGATTTAAGTGTGTGCGTGTTCGCATGGACAAAAAATATCCATACTAACCCCATCTTTGCATTCTTTGAAGAAATTTGTTACCTCTATTCAACTGACATTTAAGAGAAATGTTTTTATAAATTTAATAAATGAATATAATTCGATAAAAGAATTTAATTAAGCTAAGCGAATTTAATTCAATATAGATGAATTATAGGAGAATTTTTGCCATACATTAAACTAGAATAGAATATCAGCAAACGATACCGTCTTCTCGCTTGTGAATTTTAAAAGTTTTTAAAATGCTGAAGCAATGTATGGCAATTGAAACTTACAAAACCTTCATTTTTACTATACAGGAAAAAAAGTAAAACTTTATAAAATAAAATAGACAGTTATTGGACTAATATCTTAATTTAGACTCATATATTTAATAAGTTTACTCGCATTTTAGTTAAGAGGTGCTTGAAATAAGCTAAAATCAAGACAGTTTTGTCAAGGAGAAGTTTCTGACAGGAAGAAATATCAAAAAGCTTTCAACTAAACATCTTTTGCCGTTGAAAAATCTAATTCATTAATGACTTGGTCGAATAAATTAGTCTTCCATTACAACCAACAACAACATGATTTTTTAGTTATTTTAATTAAGAATCATGTTTTTTTTTTTCCTTTCAAAATGACATGTTCAATATTTTTTAAATAATCTATTGGCTTATGAAGTAAATATCTTTAAAAATTTTATGGAATTCATTCTCTGGCAACTTGTTAAGTAAAGTTTAATGGACAGATTCAACCTTATGTAAGTTTAAGAACTATGAGCAAAATTTGATTATCCAGTTTAATTTTATTTCACTAAAATATAAATTATTAATCTTAAAATAATTTATTGCAGATAAGAAAGAGATTAATTATGCATTTGTAAAATTGTGGAATACTTGTTCTTTGTAAGGGAAGTTAAAAAGTAAATGATCAATGAATCAGTACTAATCAACACTACGAAATTATGATCAAAACTGAAAGACATATCTCGACACAATTAATAAGCTAAATCAACTTATTAAAAAACACAAATTACCATCATAGCATACTACTCGTTGCTAAAATTAATTAAGAATTGTTGTCATCAATAATTAATCTATTTTTTATATTTTTCTAACTAAATATCATTATTTTAGCTTCTTAGAACAAAACTTATTTTTTAATTTCAATTTGTGCCTTTCACAAAAAATAATTAATTGTTATATACTTCGTATTACATTGTAATATAATATACTTTTATATACTACTTCGTTGTAGTACTTATGGTTATTTCACTTGTGATACCCTAACATAGGAAATCAAAGATTATAAAAGTGAAAACCAAATGTAATAAAATGAAAGATAAATATCGGAAATAATTATCCCTTAATTTGTCACCAGGTTTGCAATTTTGGATAAGGTTTTAACCTTTATAAGATAAGGTTTAACTCTAGATGCAGCAGATAAGGTTCTAACTAGCAGATAAGGTTTTAACTCTAGATAAGGTTTACGTTTGCAACTCTAGATAAGGTTTCGTCGTTTTTCGGAGAACGTTCAAAATTTTCTCTCATTATTAATTGCATGATAACTTTAACTCCAATAATGATAACTCCAATGATAACTTTGCGATAATAAAGAGCTAAATTTTCTTCGTAATGATCAAGAAATGATTGAAACTGGCATTATCGTCCAGCACGGTGATAACCCCTGTAATGCGGGCACTCTATTAAGTGAACAAGTTGTCGAAAATTTGACAAGTGTTTCGTGTTAAATTTTATTTGTAGTAGTAAGGAAGAGATTAAAAATAGTATCGTAGTCCAGCCTAGAGCTTCAGCTAAAGTTTGTGTTCTCTAATCTAGCTGGAAAATTTTGGTTGACGATGAATTTTTTTGACGATTATATCGTGATAAATTCTACTGGTAACTCCCAGGAAATAATAATTGAATCTTACATTAACATCGGGCACCGAGCTTCAGTACTGTTTTAAGTGCTCTAGCTAGTGGAAAAGTAATTTTAGTTTTGACTGCAAGATTCCATCAAAACAAACATTCATTCTTTGCAATTCCATCATAAAAGTATCAAGATTTCATCGAGTTAATAAAATCTAGTGATATAGAAAAGGCATTTCGATTAAATTAAAAATATTTATTTAAGTGATAAAAATATATAAATAAAAATAATAATTAAAGCAATCTAATTTTTTTTAAAGTTAAATTATTTTGATTCAAATGCTGCTTGTTTTAGTCTTCGTATTAACTTATCTTCAACTTAAACAAAAACTAAATAAATAAAATAACAATAAAAGTCACTATGCTAGCTAAGAATAAACAACTCGGAAAACGAACGTGAGATGGAAAAGAAGTATCACTCTCCATATGTGGTAACCATTCCACTAACTTTCTCTTTCTCATCGCCAATGTTTTCGACAATCTCGCCACTATTGTCGCAAGATTTATCTAAAGTAAGATACTTGGAACTCTGCTAATCCCATAACAGAAAACTGGAATAACTTTCAAGCCACATCTGCCACATGACACATATTTGTCACTTTTTTTGAATAATTCTAATAAGCCAATCGCTAAAAATCAAAATGTGTTTTTGAAGTTATACTTCTTATTCGACTTCCAACAAGGTTGCGTTAAACCAACACCTCCTAGAAAGAACAGGCCTCAGCACGGGTTACCATAAATATCCCTTAGTAGTCCAAACGTAATGACATATTTTGTATATTCAACCACTGCGCAGCTTAGTACCCCTAACGTAATGACATTTGTCTTATTTTTCGTCTACTGCGCAGTTAACTTCGTCACATCGGACTACTAAATTGATCCGTGCTGAGGCCTTTCTACTTCTAGGAGGTGTTG